AGCCGCAGCCAATGGCGAGGCCGCGCGAGCGGCACCGGCCGCCGCCCCCCTCGGCACCGACGGCTCCCGGTAGCGGTTCTCGGGCCCCGCAGGCGCCGCCGGTGCCGGGCAGCGCCGGCAGCACCATGGACAGCGACGGGGCGGGACGGGCGGCGCGGGAGCCGGGGCAGGGGTTGGGGGCTGAGTGCGGGAAGGGGCCGGTTAGGGGTCAGTGTTAGGGACAGGTTAGGGGTCAGTGTTAGGACTGGGGTTAGGACTGGGGTTAGGCTGGGGTGGGGATTAGAGATCAGGGTAGCGGGTTAGGTTTGAGTTGTGGATGGGAGTGAGATTAGGGTCATGGTTGGGGTGAAGGCTGGGTCTGGCATTCTGGTAGAGACCAGATTTGGGGTCAGGATTATGATTAGAGTTAGGGTGAGGGGCAGAATTAGGGGTTAGTGTTAATGTTAGGTTAATGTTAGGGCTTGAGCTGGGTTTGTAGCAGAGTGAGCTTAAGGTTGAGCTGAGGGGTTGGGGTGGTTACAGCTGGGGGGTAGGCCAAGATTTAGGGTTACAGCTGGTGGTATGGCTGGGGCTGTGCACACCCGGGGACCATGGCCTGGCCTGGCCCAGTTGTCCCCTGCCTCCATGGCTGGCACCACGTTGCCAGACCCTGGGCTCTGCCCCATCCCAGTGGCCTTGGGAGGCCTGTACGGCTTGCGGAGGTTCTGGCCCCTGTGGGGCTCAGGGTGTCCCTACAGAAAGAACAAGTCACGGAGCAGAGTGGGAGCAAGTTGATAGAGCAGAGAGTTCTGCACTGGAGACCCCAGCGGACTCATTGGGACCAGCAAAGCCCGGGTCAGGCAGGGCCGAATGTTCAGTCCATGGCCAAGACGCAGGTGGCTCAGGCGGGAGGGGAGGAGTCCTGGGGACACTGGGCGGCCTCCACGCAGAACTGCGCGACGTAGCCCGCAGGGTGGCTGCAGTCATCGACGTGACCGGGGCACGGGTGTCCATCACCCAGGAGGCCGCAGAAATCCATCACATTGGCAGGAGGAGGCTTGGAGCACCAGGATCCTGGGCTGGCAGCCACAAAGATCTGTCTGTCCAGCCCTGCTGAGGCTGCTCTGGCCAGGGGCTCCTCTGCCAGCCTGGGGCCACAGCTGGAAGTGGGAGCTGGTAACCTCAGCTCAGATAAGGCCTGTGCTGGCGAGTGACGCAGTCCACCACTGGAGCCAGTCCCCGAGGGCGGCGGAGGGGATTCCATCACCGGGAATGTGTAAATCTGAGGGAATTGGTTCCCTGCCCCCACCGGGATTTGCCCTCCCAGGACAGAATGGGAGCCGGAGCAGCCCCAGGGGGAGCAGGGCTCTGTGCTGGGCCTGGCTGGGAGGGCAGTGTCCCAGCGGGAGTCCCGGAGCTGCCCAAGGGGCCTGGTGCTGGCGCGGGAGGGGGCTGCTGTGCAGGAGCCGTCCTGGGAACGGCAGCCCCTTCCTGCCGCCCCCAGCAGGCGCGGGGCTGCCTGGCCCCGCTGCTCACACCACGGAGGCCACCCCCGAGACAGACGTCACCTTATTGTCCTCGGCCCAGGGCTGCAGGTTCTGCAGGGCGTAGAGGGAGGAGTTGTGCATGCAGAGCGGGTCCTGGGGCAGCGGCTGGCTCAGGCTCTTCTGGAAGGCCTCCTGCTGCAGGTGCAGCATCAAGCGGTTGGCCTGCTGGCGCTCGGCCTCACGCTCCTCCGCCGTCTGCCTCCTGCCAGCACAGGCAGCAGCTGCAGCCTCGCTGCATCCCGGGCGCACAGGCACCTTGCAGGGTTGCCTTGTGCATGCAGGGACAGGGCGCCCAGGGCGGCTCCACCTCAGCCTCCCGTCCCTGTTACCTCCACTTGGTGCGGCGGTTCTGGAACCAGGTCTTGACCTGAGCATCTGTCATTTTGAGGGCCTTGGCCAGGGTGGCGCGCTCGGCCGAGGCCAGGTACTTCTGGCGGTGGAAGCGCTTCTCCAGCTCACAGATCTGCACCCTGCTGAAGGAGGTGCGTGGCTTCTTGCGCTTGGGCGGCGTGCGGTTCTGGTAGGGGTGCCCGATGCGCCGGGTGGCCGCAAAGGGCGACAGCGCGGCTGCAGGCAGAGGGACGTGGGTGAGACAGGGGCTGCACCAGGGGCAGCCAGGCACTGTGCCAGGGGCTCGGGGGGTGACACTTTGTGCTCAGCTCAGTGTCACCCCTCAAACAAACCTGCACCCCTGGAATTGAGGATCCCTGGGAACAGGGCACCCCCAGCACAGCCACCCGGGCCAGCCTAATCCAAGGTCCCATAGCAGCCCCTTGGCAGCCCCCGTCAGGGCTTCATACACCTCCTGGATGGGAAGGGCAGGATCCCAGGAGCCAATGGAGGCGGCTCTTGTCCCCCTCCATGTGCCAGTGCCAGCAGTGCCAGACTGGCTGCCCACCAGCTGCCCAGGTTACGCAGGGGCCAGGCAGAGGTCGTGACCCGTGCCGCAGGCAGCCAGAGCTTGGGACAGTGTGTGGGGTCTGTCCCCTGGGACCTGTTGCTGCCAGGTGGCGCCGGGGAGCGCTTTGGCCTCAAAGGTGCCGGGAGCTCAAGGCAGATCCCAGCTCCAAGGAGCCATCCCCAGGACTCTCAACACGGCCAGTGTAAATGGAGCCCAGCTCCAAGGAGCCATTCCCAGTGCTTCCAACACAGCTGGTGCACATCTCCGGTGTTCATGGCACAGCCAGTGCACGACTAGGCTGGCCCTTGGGGACCACGACAGTTGCCCAGAGCAAGCGGAGCATGGCGGAAGGCGGCCCCATGGGCGCAGTGCCCTGCACAGGCGGTACGGCAGCAGGTCCCAGCTGGCCCCACGCGGCCCCACAGCCAGAGCTGCCTCCCATGCAGCAGCGGCGCTGGGTGGGCGGGCGGGATGGCGGCTCCCGCCGCGGGGTGGAAGCGCTGGATGCAGGTGGAGCCGCGCGGGCGGGGGGCCGGACGCCCCCGCTCCCCTCCCCGCGGCGGGCGGCCCCTCAACGACGACAGATGCTGACAGCCCTGAGACCACCCTGAGGCCAGGGCGCTGAGTGATGGCGGCGATGGGAGACCCCGTGCCGGGGAGGGGCCGCCCGTGCACCCGCTGCTGGCGCCAGGCAGGAGCCGGGGACGTCACCCGCCGCCCCTGTGCAGGGCTGGTGCTTCGTCACCGCGGGGCGGCCGCATGGGCTGGGAGGCGAACGCGGCTCTGCTGGCGCCATGAAGGGGCCTCCATGGGCCCCGGCGCCTCCCACCCTCTGCACCGACATCGCCCACTCCCTCCCTGGGGATGCGAGGCCGTGGCACTGGGCCCCCCAGCACACGCTGTATCTGGTGCTGCAACCGCAGCAGCTGCTGCAGCCAAGCGGCCGCGCGGGAGCCGAGCACTGTGGATGTGGCAGCACCGCCATCTTGGGAAGCGCCTCCAGCGGAGCCGGACAAGGCCGGGCCTTCCCACACCATGGGCCTGGTCCCAGCCTGGCACCAGCAGCAAGGTCGGACACCCAGCACCCCTTCCTCCGTGCACAACATTCGGCACCAGTGAGTGTCTGCAGGCACTCGGCTCCCTGCCCGAAGGCGGCACCAGCCTCCTCCTCCTCCTCCTCACTCACCCACAGCAGCCCTGGCCTCTCCCAGGGACAACGCACACACAGGGCTCCACATCCAGCACTGCCTGGGCCCTGCAGCCCATCTCTGCATGCACTGGGGGTCTGCAGCCTCCTCAACGGCACCCACATCCTCCTCCTCATGCCCATACGGGCACCCCTGTGACCCGCACCCTTGGCACACAGGACACGGGTACCTGCGCCCAGTGCACCCAGTCCCGGCACACCACATTGTCTGTGACCCCGCGCACCATCCCTGCGCACGGCTGGTTCCTGTCCCCACACACACTGGGTGTCCACGTTCCACAAACCGGGTGTCCACATCCCACACACTGGCTCCCCGCAGCTGCGAGCAACCCCATCCTGCTTGCGACTCAGAGCGGCGGCCGCTGCCCCCAGCTCTGGACAAGGATCTGGCCGCGGTGCCGAGACGCAGCCCAAGCCGGGCAGGACGGGACCCGTGAGGTGCCGCACGGAGCGAGACTCCGGCCCGGCCCCGAACTGCGGCGAAGCCGCCGCCGGCCCCCGCCCGCGCACCGGGAACCGCCAACGGGAGCAGGCCCGCGGGGAGGCTGTTGCTCCCGGGACCGGCTGGGAGTCGCCGTCGGTCGGTCCCGACGGCGGCCGCTCCCCGCTGTCGCGTCTGGGGTCGAGGGCAGCGCGGGGAGCGGAGCGGGGCCGGCGGTTCCGCGCGGCGGCTCCAGCGGCGGCGACTCCAGCGGGGCTCCGAGCTCGGCAGCGCTCGACGGGCGCCTCCGCGCCCGCTGCCCCCGCGCCCCGCCGCCGCCGCGGGAACCGGGAACCGAGCGCGGTGCTGAGTGCCGCCCGGCAGAGCCTGGCCCTCGGAACCCGGCACGGAGCCCTCGGCCCCGCTGCGCGCCAGCTGCGCCCGCCCGGCGGAGCCGTCGGGAGCCGTCGGCGAGAGCCGTCCCCTCGGCGGCGGCACTCACCTGAGAGCCGGTCCTTGGCGATGCGCCGCGTCGTCTCCATCCAGGGGAAGGTGAGTCCCGAGAGCCCGGGCACGGGCTGCGGCGCGGCGGGCGGCGCGGCGGGCGCGGGCCGATGCGCCGGGACGCGGATGACCCCGGCGGGCGGCGCGGCGGGCGCGGGGGTCACGTTCACGCTCACGTTCATGCTCATGTTGAGGTTGTAGGAGCCAAGCGAGCAGGCGGGGCCGTAGCCGCCGCCGTAGAGCCCATAGTCGGGCTCTCCCGCCGGCCGCGCCGGCGCCGCGCCGCCCCCGGGGGGTTCGGGGCCGCTGAGAATCTGGTCGATGCCGAAGCTGATGGGCTCGTGGGGCGGCGGGGCCGGGCCCTCCCGCGGCAGCACCGCCGCCTCCATGGCCCCCCGCGCTCAGAGTCGGCGGGGCGCGGGCATCACGGGGCCGCCTAGGCGCGGGGGGCGTCGGCGGGCGGCGCAGCGCGGGGACGGCTC